AGAGCCTTCCAGAACATAGGTACCAGCTAGACAAATGAACAGCATGAATATGGACACAGCCCTAGCCAATTTCAGGGAAGGGTGGCCCCATTACATGCTGGGAGTGAAATTTATGTTCTGTGAGCACATGGATTTAGCATCTTGTCCTGGAGAGGATTGCACCAAGCCAGGCTGGAGGCAGGTTTGCCTAGTCTGGCACTTGCTGCCATGCCCTGAAGCTAAACAGAATGACCCAGTTTCTTCAGCATGCTGATTGAGGTGAGCTGTTCTGCCAAAGATCTGTTTGATACCACTGGAGAAAGTCACTTGGAAGACTAGAAGAAGGCTGCCATTCTGTCCTTGGACTTGTGATTACAGACACTGAAAGATCCTGGGAGACTCTGTGTGCTTGCTACCCCTCTGGTGCTTGAAGGTCAGTGTGGGTCTATGAAAAGGGAACATTGGCTGGTGTTCTGAAGAGCTTGTCCAACTGTTGCTACTGCATGGGACTTTGCTCAGTTTCTATTTTTGGACAGTCACCATCTGCCCTAACAGGCCTGTACTTGAAGAGCTTTGCCCTGCTACTACTACTACTGCTAAAGGGACCTTGCTTATTCTTAAACTACTTATTTCTACAATCTAATGAGAAGTCTTCTATCTGATTTCAGCCAGGACTTCAACAGAGCTTAGTCAAAAGATCAGCTAGATGCCCTCAGTTGTGAATAGTTCTAATTTCTGGAGTATCCTACTAAATTCCCAATCCCTATCTGCAGCTCTACAATAAAACTCCAAAGACAACATCCCCTAGACTGGTCATTGGCGACAACGAGTGAAAGTGTGTGTGTACCTGGCTGCAGTAAATACTTTGTGCCTGGCTATGGGGCAAGACAAGGGGAGACCTGGGCAAAAATAATACAAGCGGCTCCTTGGGGGTAGCGATGCAGGTGGATAGATCTTTCTTTTAGTGGTGTTTAATACCCACTGAGATCTTTTATTTCCCTTAATCCTATTAAAAAACATGGCAAATAAAAATGCCAGAACAAAAAGACCCCCCCCCCCCCAAAAAAAAAGGATCCCTTTTTGCAAAGTAGACACCACAAGGTCTGATTTTCTTTTTGCCACACTTTTTTAGAAATGAAGATACATGCCAATTTTTAGGCCTTCAAAACATGGAGCTTAGTAATGGTACATTTGATCCATTAAATGTACAGTTCATGCACAGAAAGATTGGAGATGAAGGGGCTAATGGGAGGACGGAGAGGAGGGATTAATGATCAGACATGCAAGATAAAGAAGGTGAGTGATTCATATACAGATTAGATCAGGGACAGAGTGGGTCACAATATACTGCAGAGGGGTCATGACAGTAGTGGGGTGTATTTCAGTGTTTGTGGTAGTGGTTACACTTTTATTATTTTTTTACTGTGTGCTGGCTTCGATCAGGAAATCTCTTTTCATCTCATACAGAGTTCCCTGCAAGAGTTAAAAGTGAAATCCACTGCTGATCGCAGCCAGTGTAAACAATGTATGATTGCAGTTATTGGTCACAGTGATTACATGGGACAGAGCCACTCTCACTGTAACGATTTTACTGTGGCCGATTTATTAAAATGAAGATTTTAGAGCAATGGCGGTAGTACGAATCAATTTAATTTAATTCTGGAATGGATAAGGAACTGTGGATCACACACCTGCCTAGTTCCTGGGATGAGCATTAGATGGATAGTAGCACCTTCTTTTTTTTCTACTCTCATTGGCTTTATACATTCATTCAGTGAGCTGCACTGCACTGTTCATTTACTCACACTGTGGGGCTTATGTATGCACTAGAGGGCTCGCTAAACCTAAAAGAGAGGTCATTTTAAAATGTTCTCTTGCCATGCTTATGTACAATGACCAGAGAGCAAGTGGTTAGGAACTTGGAAGTAAAAAAATGTGGGAGTGCTTGGTGATGGCTGAAGCTAATGCATAGGAAGATGGAGGAGGTTTGGGCAATGCTCTAAACAAAAAACACGTATACGCATTTTCCAACATCTAAACAAAATTTCTTGGAAAAGAGATTAGTTCACATTTTGAATAACATTTTTCAACTCTGCAAAGTTTTTTTTTGGTTACCTATTACAGACTTTTGACTGCAAATTCAAAGAAATTTTTATTCAAAAAAAGAATTTGGTCTTTAACAAAAGGTAATTTTGAGTGTGCATTTTAACTGTTATACTATCATACATATAAGATTTTTGTATTCACTATAAAATCCTTTTCTCTGCATTCATTGGAGGACACAACTTTACTTTGAAGGATAAGTTCACCTTTTGTAACATGTTACACCTGTATTTATGGTGTAATGTGTAACATGTTACTATAAAGTCCCTGCCTGCACCCCCCCATTTCCCACCTTGACAACGGGCGGGGGATCTACTCCTTGCACCTGCTGTCACAATTTAAAAACAGTGCGGATGAGTGAGGCTTCACCCACACAACAGTATCATTCAATAACAGAGTTTTGCGCATAAATGAGCTACAAGTATGTCTACCACCACAGCAGAATGCTGGTAGTTCTCAATGAACTGCGAGAAAATAGAAATTTCTCTTCTTACTGTAAAATCCTTTTCTCTGAGTGCATTGAAAGACACAGGTCCACTTTAGCTAACCACCAGGTGGAGATATACCCAGAGCTGTGTCCTCCCATGATTAAAAAAATAAATACATGCAGTTTCCTAGTTCAGTCACCCCCGGTTCACACCTATGCGGCCGTGCGGGCAGTGTTTTGTTTGGGCACGAGAGCCCATTCATTTGAATGGACTCCCGTGCCCGTGACACGCAGGGAAAGAAGTCCCTGCACTTCTTTTGAAAATTCAGCCCACACCGGAGCCCCCCGGTTACCAGTACGGTTGTGTTTCCCAGTGCGGGTGGCGTGCCATTAGAACTAATGGCACCTGCCCGTGGGTCCGCATGTCTTCTGTGCGGGTGGTGCGGCTGCACGGATTTTTCGTGCGGATCCGCAGTGGCACCACCCGCACAGATGTGAACCTAGGGTTAAGGTAGTGAAAGACATTACAAAGTAATAATTGATAATGAGTGTTGTCCTATGCTTTACGATATCAGACCCGCCATCTAATTTTTCGGCAAGGAATGAAGCATGATACCTTTGTATAGAGTATGTTGTATATTGTTAAAAAAAATAGTACTTTAGTTAAGGTAGATATAGATCCATACCAAAATCATATACAAGCATTAACATGTTCTTGTAATCTCAAACCATTTTCAAAAAATTTAAATCTTCAGCTTTCGGTTCCCATTCACACCTGCGCAATGCCAGGTTTTTTTTTCAAGTTTTTTTCACGATACAGCGCGTAGGGTAGCCCATTTACTTGTATGAGCTGCCCTACATGCAACAATCTCATCAAAATAGCTCCTATAATCTTTTTTTTGAAGTGGACTTGACATGATTTTGAACAAGGTGTTTTAGCGTGCTATTAAGAATGAATGGCACCCAAACGCGTGTTCCACATTTTGACTAATTTCCGCACACAGAAACACAAATTCTGCTTGCATTTCCACTACGCTGAGGTGTGAACAGGGCCTTATTAAAATCCTGCTATGAAGGTCCTTGTGCGAACACTTACCAGTATATGATGACAACACTCCCTGTCTCCCATTATGCTCCTGTTTCCTGTTTTCACCATATCACAAGTGCATCTGATAGAGACTAAAAGTGGATATTTTACCCTCAGGCATAGACATCTGTTACACCATCAGGAATCCAGACATGGGAAATGCCATGCAGCTAACATGGATAGAAAGAATGGGGAGGGAGTGGGCACAAGTGGGCACAAAAAAGCTGCAGAACATCAGCAGCAATGAGATGGAACAATACATGAAAAAAATGGTGACAACAGGTCATTTTAAATGGCAAATGTTTATGATATACAGTGCTATAGCAAAATAAATGTCATTCACTTAGGAATTACTGCTCTATTCTCACTGTCCAGATGTAGTTGCTAATAATGTTTGCCAGAGGCATTGCTAAGATTGTTAAAGACCTTCAGCACCCTGAGTAGAGTAATGATGCAGCAAGCTAAGCCAACCACATTGAATAATGGGTGTGGGCAAATTCTAGTAACAGTGGGAGGGACTTAAAGGGGAATGGTAAAATTAATCCTGAGCATCATCTACTCTGGGTCAAGAGTCAATAAGGCACGGAGTGCAAGGATCAGGAGTAAAAAAGGTACAGTGTGCAGAGGTCAGAAATGTGTAATGCATACAGTGCAGGGCTCTTTTTGCAATTTTATCTTGCCTGTGTTGGTCAATCATGTGACTTTTTTTATTTAAGTATTTTTGCCTCATATGTTTTCAGCCATGACTAAGGATTAGTATCCAAAATGCGTAGGCTGTCTATCAGCATGTACATGTTTTTTCAATAAAGGATCAAGATTTTATGGATGTCATCCTGAGTGCTGACCATCTGTTTGTCTTATCCTAGGAGGGACGGTCATGGCTTGTATCTCAGGGATAGCCTTCCAGCCAATGAGAGTCAAAAACTTTTCAGGTCTAAATTTTTTGGTTTGCAGCAAAAGCCTGAATACTTAGTTGAAACGAACTGGCAGGAAGGCCAGGTGTCTGAGTATAGAGGAGAAAAGGGAGGTGCGTGAGCTGTCTGTCAGAAGCCTTTCATCTTATGTAATAGCTTGGGGAGTCACTCCTATCATGAGGTGTTGTCCTGCATTAGTCCTAAATGAATTTGTTAGCCAAAGTAGGTCCTGTGTACCACTCTATGATAAAGGAGGAAGGACGCTTATACTCCACTGCAGTTTGTGCCTAGCTATGTTGGAAACATTAAATCTATGGGGTTTTTTTGCCCAATGAAAACTTCTAAATTCAGTCTGGATTGTTTTAAAAAATATGCCAAGAATTTTAACTTGTCTGAAAAACAGAGAAGGCATGAGAGGATTTTCATTTTTAACATGCAATTCATCCTAAACCATGAAAAGGTACACTATATTGCCAAACATATTGGGACACCCTCCAAATCATTGGATTCAGGTGTTCCAATCATCTCCATGGCCACAGGCATATAAAATCAAGCACCTAGGCATGCTGACTGCTTCTACAAACATTTGTGAAAGAATGGGTCACTCTGAGGAGCTCAGTGAATTCAAGCATGGTGCCGTGATAGGTTGCCACCTATGCAATAAGTTCATCTATGAAATTTCCTTGCTACTAAATATTCCACGGTCAACTGTTAGCTGTATTATAACAAAGTGGAAGCAACTGGGAACAACAGCAACTCAGCCACTAAGAGGTAGGCTACGTAAAATGACAGAGCGGTGTCAGCTCATGCTGAAGTGCAAAGTGCGCTGAAGTCCCCAACTGTCTGCAGAGTCAATAGTGAAAGACCTCCAAACTTCATGTGGCCTTCAGATTAGCACAACAACAGTGTGTGGAGAACTTCATGGAATGGTTTTCCATGGTGGAGCAGCTGCACCCAAGCCTTACATCACCAAGTGCAATGCAAAACATTGGATGCAGTGGTGTAAAGCACAATACTAGAGAAGAGCGAATCGAACTTGGCGAAGTGGAATTCGTTTCGAATATTAGGAAAAATTCGATTCGCACCGAATCCGAATTTTAGCAAACTTCGGATGCACGAATCGAATTTTCCCCGATCAGCCGGCAAAAAGTGTCACTGCAGAGAGCTCCGCTATTTCTGACAGTTCTCTGACAGTTCTGACAGTTCATTTACAGCGGTTGAAACATTGTATCTATTTGTTTCCATTTAGGATACAGATGTTTTTATTCGGAAACAAATAGATACAATGTTTCAACCGCTGTAAATGTGAAGGAACTGTCAGAGAACTGTCAGAAATAGCGGAGCTCTCTGCAGATACACTTTTTGCTGTACTGGAATTCTTCTTCTTTTCATTCTTCTTCTTCTTTTCATTCTTCTTCTTCTTCTTCTTTTCATTCTTCTTCTTCTTCTTTTCATTCCTCTTCTTTTCATTCTTCTTCTTCTTCTTTTCATTCTTCTTCTTCTTTTCATTCTTCTTTTCATTCTTCTTCTTCTTCTTCTTTTTCATTCTTCTTCTTCTTCTTTTCATTCTTCTTTTCATTCTTCTTCTTCTTCTTTTCATTCTTCTTTTCATTCTTCTTTTCATTCTTCTCATTCTTCTTCTCATTCTTCTTCTTCTTCTTTTCATTCTTCTTCTTCTTCTTTTCATTCTTCTTTTCATTCTTCTTTTCATTCTTCTTCTTTTCATTCTTCTTTTCATTCTTCTTCTTTTCATTCTTCTTTTCATTCTTCTCATTCTTCTTTTCATTCTTCTTCTCATTCTTCTTCTTCTTCTTCTTCTTCTTCTTTTCATTCTTCTTCTTCTTCTTTTCATTCTTCTTCTTCTTCTTTTCATTCTTCTTTTCATTCTTCTTCTTCTTCTTTTTATTCTTCTTTTCATTCTTCTTCTTCTTTTCATTCTTCTTTTCATTCTTCTTCTTCTTCTTTTCATTCTTCTTTTCATTCTTCTTTTCATTCTTCTTCTCATTCTTCTTCTTTTCATTCTTCTTTTCATTCTTCTCATTCTTCTTGTCATTCTTCTTCTTCTTCTTGTCATTCTTCTTCTTCTTCTTGTCATTCTTCTTCTTTTTCATTCTTCTTCTTCTTCTTTTCATTCTTCTTTTCATTCTTCTTTTCATTCTTCTTTTCATTCTTCTTTTCATTCTTCTTTTCATTCTTCTTCTCATTCTTCTTTTCATTCTTCTTTTCATTTCTTCTTCTTCTTCTTCTTTTCATTCTTCTTCTTCTTCTTTTCATTCTTCTTCTTCTTCTTTTCATTCTTCTTTTCGTTCTTCTTCTTTTCATTCTTCTTCTTCTTCTTTTCATTCTTCTTTTCATTCTTCTTCTTCTTCTTTTCATTCTTCTTCTTCTTCTTCGTCGTGCCCCGTGACTGCCCAAATGAGTGAAGTGTGCGGTGATTCTAAGATCGACGGCACTCATCTGCATGTCATACTGACTGACAGTATTATTTCTCTTCCCCAGCAGACTCCAAGGGCATTTAAATTAAAGGTACAGTGTTCTGCACTAATATAAAGGCTCTCTGAAGCCTAGAAACCCTTTTAATAAGTTAAATTCGCAGCGAATAAATTCGCATCGAATCGAATTTCTCCCGCAAATTCGGCGAATCAGCCGAATCGAATTTTTGAATAATTCGCTCATCTCTACACAATACCCCAGGACTCTAGAGCAGTGGACACGTGTTCTCTGGAGTGATGAATCTCGCTTCTCTGTCTGGCAACCCAATGGACATGTCTGGGTTTGGCGGTTGCCAGGAGAACGGTGCTTGCCTGACTGCATTGTGCCAAATGTAAAGTTTGGTGGCAGGGGAGATTATGGTGTGGGGTTGTTTTTCAGGGGTTGGGCTTGGCCCCTGAGTTCCAGTGAAGGGAACGCTTAAGGCATCAGCATACCAAGACATTTTGGACAATGTCATGCTCCCAACTTTTTGGGAACAGTTTGGGGATGGCTCCTTCCTGTTCCAACATGACTGCGCACCAATGCACAAAGCAAGGTAAAAAAAAGACATGAATGAGTGAATTTAGGGTGCAGAAACTTCACAGAGTTCTGACCTCAGCGTGATAGAACACCTTTGGGATGAATTAGAGCGGAGATTGTGAGCCAGGCCTTCTCGTCCAACATCATTGTCTGACCTCACAAATGTGCTTCTGGAAGAATGGTCAAACATTCCCATAGACACACTCCTAAACCTTGTGGACAGCCTTCCTTGAAGAGTTGAACTGTTATAGCTGCAAAGGGTAGGCCAACTCACTATTGATCCCTACAGACTAAGACTGGGATGCCATTAAAGTTCATGTGCGTGTAAAGGCAGGCTTCCCAATGCTTTTGGCAATATAATGTATCTCTGTCCCACCTCTTCAGGTCTTTCCGAATCGCTGAGTGGAAGGGAGGAAAATTTAACATAAAGACCTTATCCAGGGATAAAGTGAATTTGAACAGGCTAGTTATTTTACCCATGTTATAGTTTAAATACAAAAGGTTAAACTTTTGTAAAGAAATCTGACAAAGTGTAAATTCAAATAAAACCCAAGGCTAGCCATAATATAACAACTTTTCTGCAAAAGAGATGAAGGTGACACAATCCACCTCCCACACACAAACACATTTAAAGTACAATGATTGACCATTTACAACCAATCATTCTAATCACCGCATTGCATTGCAGTTCCTGTATCTCTCCATCAACAGAGCCAGAATAAAGACATTGCATTTGGCACTAAAGATGTGAAATCAATGTTCTTCCTAATTTAATTCTATAGGGTTTCCGAAGAAGAACATGTACCTACACTGTACAAGTTAAAATCACTAACATCTCTTTTCCATGAACTACCCACACAAGCACAGTGAACAGCGCACAAGCCTTGCAGAAAAAAAGATGCCTGATTACTCTGATTACTCACTTAATCTCATCAAGTAGCTTATCCACACACAGCTTAGATCAATAGGGTGGTATTTCTTTCTCATAAAGATTGCTGCGTCATTGATTTATTTCTCCCCTGAGCTTTATCTTTGTGTGATATATACTCACAATGCAATTCCTGCTTATACATACAGCAGGTCAATTATTTGACACATACTTAATGCTGAACACCTGAAGCCAATGCAGAGGACACTGTGACACTCAAGCAGACAACCTATGTCTCTCTGATGCTCCGAGTCCAAAGCTAGAACTGCAGTGTGGCATCATCCAAAAGGAAGAAACCATGTTATTATATATTTTGTAATTACAAGATCTCCACTATGCCTAATAAATTTACAATGCCTATATAACAAAACCCCAATGCAATTTGTTAAAAGAGTCCCCATTAGTGAGAGAAAAACGATTATAGCTATCCACATGGTGTTAACAGTTATACACATGGCGAAAAATTAAGAATGGGAACTGTAAATCTCCTTTCGCACTGATCAGGTTCATCTGTCAGGTTTTCAGGCCTGATCGATCGAGTGGTCCATGTATCCCTATGGACAGGCAGATGTAAACAGACTTGTGTCCATTTACACCTGCCTACCTCCAATCCAATCCGGTCTGCTACAAAAAAACAAAAAACAAAAAACATATGGGGATCCATTCCCCTCCATCTAGGTGGATCAGATCGGAGGGCAGTAAGGTGTAAATGGACAGCCAGTCTATTTACACCAGACCGCCCAAAGAGCAGAGCAACCTAGACAGAGGGGAATGGATCCCCATCAGTTTTTTTTTTCAGCAGACTGGACTCTACATAAACTGATTGGACACAGACCTATCATCCGCCCACTCTGCTCTTCTCTGCAGGTCATTAGCAGACAAATCCTCTGCTCAACAAAGCAGATTCCATCCCCTGTGAAAGAAGCCTAAATTACAAATTTTCTTCCCCAACATGTGATCAATAAACATCACTGGCCTGAAAGAATTGCCACTGCACACCTTTGAGGGCCTGATTACATCATTGTGTTAGAAAATTCAGAATGCATTTTTTATTGTGTTTTTAATGTGGTGCAATATTAAATTATAATAAAGTGAAAAATGTGTATTACAATTACAATTTTTCCTTTTCATTTTCGTTATTTCCGATCTTCATTTTTTGGGTTGTGTTTCTTGCAAATATAGACATGTGACTTGAAAAAGGCATATCATGCATATCATCTTGTCATTGACCAGACTATAAAGCCTGCCTTATTTCCTGACTGGAGGATGTCCGGCATTATCTAGCTCAAACCTCCGCAACCTGACTTACTGCAGCTTCTAAAGCTGTGAGATAATCACAATGTGCAGTGAAATCAGAGTAAACAATTTCAGTACAGAACAGGAGCCTGCACATTGAAGGCAAGGCTAGAGTTCAGCATTAAATTAGTTTTGGTTTATAACTTTCCAATGTGGGAACTCCTTAAGATCAGAATAATGCCCATGCTATATTGAGGAAACCTGATGCCTGATGTGTCATTTACCTTACTAGGCTGTAGTGCTTCCATCACAGCCTAGTACCTGATGTATTTGTTTTATATCATAGT